CTCCAGTTCTCTTTTTCTACTGTATAAACGATGAGCCTGGGAAATCCTCTCTGTGTGGTACTGTGCAAACTTGAGGGAGGGAGAAGGGTGAAGTGGTCAAGGAGAAACCATTTCTTTTACCCTTCTAATGCAGTTTTTATTTAGCTCTGTGGTCCCTGTAGGTGGCTCAGGCTTATTCCCAAGTTTAGGAATTTTCACTGATATTCTTATCTGTGAATAATGCTAGTTGGACTTGCTGTGAAGGGTAGTGAAGCCTGGGATGTCCTATTTCACCATCTTGCTCTGTTGCTATTAATATTTTGAACTGACTGTCATCTATTAGACCAATTAAGAGTAAGAAAATATTTTTTTCAATTTTACCTTCACTTATTCTTTCTTTGATGTTCTTCCTTTCTTTATGTAGAACCACTTCTGACCTATATTATTTTTTTTCTCTCTAAAAAAACTTCTTTTAACATTTCTTGCTAGGCATGTCTACTGACAACAAATTCCTTTAATTTTGGTTTGTCTGAGAAAGTCTGTTTTTCTCCTGCATCTTAGAAGAATAATTTTATGGGGCATAGAATTCTGTGTTGGTGTTTTATCCTCTTTCAATATTTAAAATGTTTTATTCTACTCTTTTTATTTGCATGGCTCTGAAGAGGAGTTAGATGTGATTCTTATTTTTGCTCTTCTAGAAGTATAGTGTTTTTCCTCTTTGGCTTGCTTTAGGACTTTTAATTTTAATTTTCTGTAGTTTGAAGATGATATGCCTAGGTCTAGAGTTTTTAAAAATATTTATTCTGCTTGGTGTTCTCTGAGTTTCCTGAATATGTAGTTTGGTGTCCAACATTAATTGGGGGAAATTCTTTGTCATTATTGTTTGAAGTATTTCTTTGATTCCTTTCTTTCTTCTCCTTCTGATATTCCCATTATGCAGATATTTTACCTTTTGTAGTTGCCCCACAGTTCTTGGATATTCTTTTTGCCCCACAGTTCTTGGATATTCTTTTCTGTTTTTCCTTAGTTTTTATCTCTTTTTCAGTTTTAGGGGTTTTTATTGAGATATCTTTATGATCCAATTTTTTTTTCTCAGCCATGTCTAGTCTACAAATAAGCCCCTAAAAGGCATTCTTCATGTTTATTACAGTAGTTTTGATCTCTAGCTCTTCTTTGTAGTTCTTTCTTAGAATTTTGATCTCTCTGCCTAATTAATCATCTTTCCTTGCATGTGGCTTACTTTATTCATTAAAGCTGTTAGCATATTAATCATAGTTGCTTTCAATTCCTGATCAGATAATTTCAACATCTGTGTCTACCATGTTTGGTTCTGACTCTTACTGTGTCTCTTCAAGCTGCTTTTGTATTTTGTTTTTCTCTTTGAGACACAGTCTTGTGTTGCCCAGGCTAGAGTGCAATGGCATAAGCTTGGCTCACTGCAACCTCTGCCTCCCAGGTTTAAGTGATTCTCCTGCCTCAGCCTCCTGAGTAGCTGGGACTACAGGAGTACCACCATGCAAGGTTAATTCTTGTATTTTTAGTAGAGACAGGGTTTTACTATGTTGTCCAGGTTGGTCTCCAACTCCTGGCTTCAGGTGATCCACCCACCTCAGTCTCCTGAAATGCTGGCGTGAGCCACCGCACCCAGCCAACCTATGTTTTTACCTTTTATTATGCCTTGTAATTTTTCTTGATTGCTGAATTATAATATACTGGATGAAAAAGAAGTACGTAAATAGGCCTTGTAATATGGTGGCAGAGGGGAGAAATATTTCATAGTCCTGTGACTTGGTCTCAGTCTTTCGGTGAGCCTATGTCACTGGACTTTGAAATTCACACAATTTCTTGGTTCTTTTCCCATCAACTTGGGATGGATAGAGTAGGCCGAGATTGGGTATTTCTCTTTCCCTTGGTTACTCATGCTCTGGTAAAATCCCAGCAGGTTAGAGTGTGGTTGACCACTTTCTCCAGAGGGCAGACCTTATTAAGAAAGGAAGGTCCTGTTACATTTCAGAATGGTTCCTTTGCCCCTTTCCCCACTGGAAGCACAAGGGGATCTTTCTCTGATACTCACCTGAGAATGTGGTCAAGCTTCTGGAAGTAAAACTCACAAAAGTGTGAGGGCCCTTCTGTAACTGGATCTCCTGGAGTGTTCAATTCTCTGACTTGCCCACACTGAGCCCCCAGCAGTTCATCAATTGCAGTTCAGGTGTTGCTACCCTAACATTGGTTCCCATGGAGGTTTCTGGTCTGGTATATTGTGATTCTCTATATCTGTACACATGTCTCTCCAATTCTGGGGGCAGTGGTTTACTCTCAGTTATTAATAATAATCTATGAGAGTTATTGATTTTTCACCTAGTTCAGTTTTTTGCTTGTTGTTAGGATGAAGTGGTGACTTCTAAGTTCCTTACATGTGGAGGTGAAAACTGAAAGTTCCCTGCTGACTTTTCTAGGTAGATTATCAAATCTGCAAATAAGGACAATTTTATCTTTTTTACTTAAAATTCTTCTAGCCCATATTTTCTTTTCCTGTTTCATAGTGATTGCCAGTACTTCCAGATTTATATTAAGTACTAATGGCAATGCTAGTCATTTCTGATCACGAAGGAAATATTTGGGTTTTCCTATTAAGTGTGATCTTTTTGTTGACTAAGTATGTTTATTTTTTGGTATATAGTTTTTATCACTACACAAAAATACTCATATTTCAAGCTTTGAGATTTTTAAAAAATAAAAATCAATAGATGTTGAATGTTATCTAGTACTATTCTGCATACGTTACCATAATCACATGAATTTTCTCCTTTAGTTCTTACTAAGAACTTATATATGACTGCTTTGATGATGCTGAATTATGCTTGAATTTTCAGGATAAACCCTTCTTTATGATGTAGCAATATCATCAATAACCAATAATCATCAATAGTTATTGTTTAGCTAATGCTTTGCTTAGGGTTCATAAGTAAAACTATGAATTTTCTTATACTCGTATTTTCAGAATCAAGCATACAAGAGAAATTATGTTTTTCTCTTGTATGTTTGGTAGGATGCACCCATAAGACCCTTTGGGTTTGGGTCCCTTTGGAAACTTTAATTCCCCAAATAATTATTGTTCTGTTTAATATTTCCCTATCTTCCTGTGTCATTTTCTTGCATTATATATTTTTTGCCTCCTCTTTGATTTTCCTGTGCAGATGTGCCAGTGGTTTGTCTGCTTCGACAGATTTGTCTCAGAATATATTTCCACTGGTCAAAGCAGATCCAATGTTCTTTTTGTTTTCTTACTTATTTTTGAGACAGAAAAAATAAATAACTGTTTTTCTCTGTTGCCCATGTAGGAGTGCAGCAGCATGATCTTGGCTCACTGCAACTTCTGCCTCCCAGGTTCAAGTGATTCTACATCCTCAGCCTCCCAAGTAGCTTGGATTATAGGTGTCCACCACCAGGCCTGGCTAATGTTTGTATTTTTAGTAGACACAGGGTTTTACCATGATGGCCAGGCTGGTCTTGAACTCCTGACCTCAAATGATTTACCTGCTTTGGCCTCCCAAAGTGCTGGGATTGCAGGCATGAGCCACCATGACCAGCCCAATGCGCTTTAAAAATCAGCAAAACTTAGCTGGGCGTGGTGGCTCACACCTGTAATCCTAGCACTTTGGGAGACCAAGGCAGGCAGATAACGAGGTCAAGAGATCAAGACCATCCTGGCCAACATGGTGAAACCTCGTCTCTACTAAAAATACAAAAGTTAGATGGGTGTCGTGGCGCACTCCTGCAGTCCCGGCTACTTGGGAGGCTGAGGCAGGAGCATCACTTGAACCCTGGAGGTGGAGGTTGCAGTGAGCCGAGATTGCACCATTGCATTCCAGCCTGGGCAGCAAGAGTGAAAAAAAAAAAAAAGAAAAAAAAATCAGCACAACTTTTCCATCTATTTAGTAGTTGCTTATTCTCTTTTCAGGTTTTTGGGGGGGAAGATTTCTAAAGTAGACAGCTTCTTGGGAGTTCTATTAAAGGGGTTCAAGTATATATATTAAATGTAATTTCATATACTATGTATATGATAGATAGTAAAGACAACCAGATTCATTATCTTTGGGAGATTAGGGTCCAGAGGAAATCAGGCTACTATTAACCACACAAGCACAAAAATTACAACCGTTACGCATTCTAAAAAGAAATAAGGAAACTCTAAGAGAGATGATAAAGAAGCACTCCCTCCATTGTGACAAGGAAGGTTTCTCTGAGTAAGTGATAGGAGTTAACCTGGTGAGGAGGAGAAGGAACAATATTTTATATAGAGGAAAAGGAATAAATAACGCTCCTGGGGGTCAGGGAGCCAGTGTGACTGAGTGAAGAGACAGTGAAAAAAAAATACATTCAGGGATTTTTGTGATTTATAAAGAAAAAAGGTTTATTTGGCTTATGTTTCTGCAGGATGTATAAGAAGCATCCTGCTGTCATCTGCTTGGTGTCCTCAGGAAGCTTTTACTCATGCCAGAAGGCAAGGGGAGGCAAGCCTGTCACATGGCAAGGGGTGGATACCATGCTCTTTTGGGTCTCTCTTTGATATTAGTCTGACACAGTGGAGTCAGTTGTATGTTTAGATGGAGAATGGTTGGGGAAAAGTGTTAAGTTATAAACTAAAAGAGATAAGTATTAATACTGGAAAAGCAAAATGTCAAATTGAAAGATATAAATCTTATTTGCATTCTAAGAAGAACAGTTGCAAGGACATATTTTAGTCATTGAAGATACTTTCAGGAAACACTTCTCTCTAACTCACTACAAGTACCATAACAAATGTTGGTGTATTAGTCCATTTTGTGTATAAAATACCGATATGACATGGTTTGGCTGTGTCCCCACCCAAATCTCATCTTGAATTCCCACATGTTGTGGGAGGGACCTGATGGGAGGTAATTGTTTCATGGGGGCAGGTCTTTCCTGTGCTGTTCTTATGGTAGTGAATAAGTTTCATGAGATCTGATGGTTTTTAAAAGGGGTGTTTCCCTACACAGGTTCTCTTCTCTTGTCTGCTGCCATGTGAGACATGACTTTCACCTTCCACCATGATTGTGAGGTCTTCCCAGCCACATGGAACTGTAAGTTGATTATACTTCTTTCTTTTGCAAATTGCCCAGTCTTAGGAATGTCTATATCAGTATCATGAAAATGGACCATACTTGAGAATGGATGATTTATAAAGAAAAAGGTTTATTTGGCTTGTGTTTCTGCAGGATGTATAAGAAGCATCCTGCTGTCATCTGCTTGGTGTCCTCAGGAAGCTCTTACTCATGCCAGAAGGCAAGGGGAGGCAAGCCTGTCACATGGCAAGGGGTGGATACCATGCTCTTTTAAACAGTCAACTCTCATGTGAACTAATAGAGCAAGAATTCACTCATTACCATGGGGACAGCACCAAGCCATTCATGAGAGACCCCCACCCTCATCATTCAAACGCCTCTCACTTGGCTCCACCTCCAACACTGGGGATCAAATTTCAACATGGGATTTGGAGGGGACAAATATTCAAACCATATCAGTTGACTTTGGAACAATTTGAAATTGTTCCTACAATGATTTGAATAGGCCCAAAATGTTGAAGTGCAAAATTAAAAATAATTTAAATGTAAATTAATCCCTTGAGATCATATAATCCAAGGGAGAATCTACAAACATTAGATTTGCTTAAAAGCACAAACTCAGCAGCAATGTTTGCTGCTGCAGCACTTTGATCTACTTAGGAAGTGACAGGTGTGCATTGGTACTTGAGTCTGCACTGTGCTACATACCAGCATTTTGGTTTCAAGAAAATAGCCACAAGCACTAAATATCTCTTGAAGTGAACAAAACTAAGGATTGCTTAAAGTTTATAAACTGTAGCTGTATAGTGTACAAGTGTACCAAAGATGTGAGTGTAACTTACAAATTTGAATCACAAAAGAACCAAGAATTTGAGGGGATGCGATTTACCATATCTGTTCCTTAGAAGTTGATGCAGAAGAATTTGTTCATCCTCATAAGGTTTTAATAGATTCTTTCCACGACACTTACTGCAAACTAGAACATTAAGCATAACAGAAGCCTTATTATGACTATGGATTTAGTAATGTGGCAAACAAATAGCCTTGGATATAAAATTTGAGATTACTTCATTTGTTCTTGCAACATATGGAATTTTTCTTGCCAAGTCATTACACATGCAGTATGCCTTTCTAATTAAAACTAATGATTCCCATTGTCACCATTTATTCCATCATTTACTGGTGCAGAAACCTTCATAGCATATAATAAAGTGCAAATATCATAGTCTGCATACAGCTCCTTCATTACCTTTCTTCTTGGCCTTGCTCCCCTTCTGGCATCTGTAGAAACCTAGTAGATAAACAGTCTGCATGCTCTTCCCTGAAGGTGCCTTGTACCTTCCTGCCTCTCTAGTGTATGGAATGTTGCCTGGAAAGTCCTTCTGTTTCTTTATTTAATCTTGGCCTCCTGAAATCCTTACAATTCTTTAAGACTCAGCTCAGAAGTGCCATGCCTCTGGAAGTTTTACCTGTTCTTCCTAAAGACATGAACCCAAACTGGGTTCCACAGAACCACAGATCACATGATCGCACAAGGACTGTGCCTCCTGGAGTGTCACAAAACAGAACTAGCCCCTTAAATGCCCAGAGAACTCTTACAGTAAATGCCTGTTGATATTTTTTGGTTCATCCATTCCAAAATGTATTTGACTATGGAATTCTGCTTTTTGTTTTTCTTCAAAGAACACCCATGTATATCCCAGAAAACATATTCTGAGAAGTGTTTCCCTGCCTCACTGTGTTGCCTCATCTCACATTTTTACGTACCCATTTAGTCAACAAATGTTTGTTGACGTCTGCCAGATATTGAGGAGAATTAAAAAATGATTCAGACTTAGAGCCTTCAGAGAAGTTTCCAGTCCAGTGGGGGGAATAAGACAGTAATGGCAGCTTAAGGTGAGAGAGGTGCTGAAGAGGCACTATGGGGGCTCAGGAAAAAGAAAACATGATTTCAACTCAGAGGAATGTGTTAGTAAGGTCCTTCAAGAAGCAGACTCTGAGACAGAATAAAATGTGCAGGGATTCGATCAGGAAGTACAGCTGCAGAGAAATGGGGGTGTATTAGTCCATTTTCACTCTGCTATAAAGAAATACCTGATACTTGGTAATTTATAAAGAAAAGAGGTTAAATTGATTCATGGTTCTGTAGGCTATACAACAAGCATGGTAGCATCTGCTTCTGGGGAGGCCTAAGGGAGCTTTTACTCATAGGAGAAGGCAAAGCCTGAGAAGGTGTCTTACAGTGTCAGTGACTTTACAGCTTGTGGTCTGAAGGACAGTAGCCCTCTTCTCACAACTCCACTAGTCACTGCCTCAGTGGAGACTTTGTGTGGGGGCTTCAACCCATATTTCCCCTTCACATTGCTCTAGTAGAGGTTCTCCATGAGTGCTCCTCCCCTGCAGCAGGCTTCTGCCTGGGCATTCAGGCTTTGCCATACACCCTCTGAAATCTAAGTAAAGGCTCCCAAGCCTCAACTTTTGCACTCTGCATACCCACAGGCTTCACATCACATGGAAGCTGCCAAAGCTTACAATTTGTACCCTCTGAAGCAGTGGCCAGAACTGTATCTGGGCCCCTTTGAGCCAAGGCTGGAGCTGGAGTGGCTGGGATGCAGGGAGCAGTGTCCTGAGTCTGTGCAGGGTGGCAGGGCCCTAGGCCTGGCCCACAAAACCATTCTTCCCTCCAATGCCTCTGGGCCTGTGATGGGAGGAGCTGCTTTGAAGGTCTCTGAAATACCTTCAAGTTCTTTTCCCTATTGTCTTAGATTGATATGGTTTAGCTTTGTGTACCCACCCAAATCTCATCTTGTAGCTCTCATAATTTTCACATGTTGTAGGAAGAACCCAATAGGGGATAATTGAATCATGGGGGTAGGTCTTCTCTTGCTGTTCTTGTGACAGTGAATAAGTCTCACAAAATCCAATAGTTTTTAAAAATGGGAGTTTCCCTGAACAAGCTCTTCTTTTGTCTGCTGCCATGTGAGACATGCCTTTCACTTCCTGCCATGATTGTGAGGCCTGCCCAGTCAGGTGGAACTATAAGTCCACCTTTCTTTTGAAAATTGCCCCGTCTTGAGTATGACTTTATCAGCAGCATGAAAATGGATGAATACAACAAATTGGTACCTGAAAAGTGAGGCATTGCTGAAAAGATACCCCAAAATTTGGAAGCAACTTTGGCATTGGGTAACAGAGAGGTTAGAACAGTTTGGAGGGCTCAGAAGAAGACAGGAAAATGTGGGAAAGTTTGATACTTCCTAGAGACTTGTTGATTGGCTTTGACAAAAATGCTGATACTGATATGAACAATAAGGCCCAGGCTGAGGTGGTCTCAGATGGAGATGAGGAACTGGAGTAGAGGTGACTGGACAATGTGATAGAAAATAAAATCCCATTTTCTGAGGGGAAATTCAAGCCAGCTGCAGAAGTTTGCAGAAGTAACAAGGAGCCAAATGTTACTCCCTAAGACAATAGGAAAGATATCTCTAGGGTATGCAGAGGTCTTCGTGACCACCTCTCCTATCACAGGCCTGGAGGCCTGGGAGAAAATGGTTTCGTGGGCTGTACCCAGGGTCCCTGTTCTGTTTGCAGCCTAGAGACTTGGTATCCTGCATCCTAGCTATTCCAGCCTTGGCTAAAAAGGGGTCAATGTAGAGCTGGGGCCATGGCTTCAAAGGGTGTAAGCCCCAAGCCTTGGCAGCTTCCATGTGGTGTTGAGCCTTGCAAGTGCACAGAAGTTAAGAATTAAGGTTTGGGAACCTCTGCCTAGATTTCAGAGGATGTATGGAAATGCCTGGATGTCCAGGCAGAAGTTCATTGCAGGGGCAGAGCCCTCAGGGAGAACCTCTGCTAGGACAGTGCAGAAGGGAAATGTGGAGTCAGGTCCTCCACACAGAGTCCTTTCCAGGGCACCACCTACTGGAGCTGTGAGAAGAGAGCCACCATCCTCCAGATCCCAGAATGGTAGATCCACTGACAGCTTGTACTGTACACCTGGAAAAGCTGCACTTAATGCTAGCCTGTGAAAGCAGCTAGGAAGGAGGCTGAACCCTGCAAAGCCACAGGGCTGGAGCAGCCCAAGACCATAGGAACCCACCTCTTGCATCAGTGTTAGTCTGGATGTGAGACATGGAGGCAAAGGAGATCATTCTGGAGCTTTAAGATTTGACTGCCTTGCTAGATTTTGGACTTGCATGGGACCTTAGCTCTTTTGTTTTGGCCAATTTCCCCCATTTGAAACAGCTGTATTTACCTAATGCCTGTACCTCTATCGTATTTAGGAAGTAACTAACTTGCTTTTGATTTTACAGGTTCATAGATGGAAGGGAGAAGGGACTTGCTTTGTCTCAGATGAGACTTTGGACTGTGGGCTTTTGAGTTAATGCTGAAATGAGTTAAGACTTTGGGAATGATTGAGAAGGCATGACTGGTTTTGAAATATGATATTGGTTTTGAATTTGACATTTTATAGGGGCTGGGTGGACTAATATGGTTTGGTTCAGTGTCCCCACCCAAATCTTATCTTGTAGCTCTCATACTTACCATGTGCTGTGGGAGGGACCTGGTGGGAGATAATTGAATCATGGAGGCAGGTCTTTCCAGTGCAGTTCTGGTGATAGCGAATAGGTCTCACTAAATATGATTTTAAAACATGAGAGTTTTCCTACACAAGCTCTTCTCTTGTCTGTTGCCATGTGAGACGTGTCTTTTACCTCCCACCATGATTGTGAGACTTCCCCAGCCATGTGGGACTGTAAGTCAAATAAACCTCTTTCTTTTATAAATTGCCCAGTTTCAGGTACATCTTTATCAGCAGCATGAAAACAGACTAATACCTGGATATTAGCACTTGGCTCCTTTTTATTTATGCAAATTTCTGCAGCTGGCTTAAATTCATCTCTTGAAAATGAGATTTTCTTTTCTGCCACATGGTCAGGCTGCAAATTTTCCAAACTTCTATTCTCGGCTTCATTTTAAATGTAAATTTTATTTTAGGTCATGTTTTTGCTCACATATAG